AATAGCCATTCCTCTGGTCAGACTTCACCATCACCTTAAACTGGGTAGCATCGCCGTTCCGAAAATGGACAGTGTTTGTTGCCAACAGGATAGGCGAGATTTAACTTTTCAAGGAAATTAGGGACTTGCATAACGTCAGATCATCCAACAACCCCGCCGACATTTTATCGCGTGGGTTGAACCCGCTTGACTTGGCAAATCTATGTGGTGGGATGGACTCTCTTTCTTGTAGAAGGACGACGAGTAATGGCCAAATAGCACAGTCGTTCATTTGGATGACGACATCACTGAACAAAGGGAAATACAATAATATCGGCCGTGGTAAACGAGCTGTTGATTAATCATTCGGGTTTAAATAGAATTTGCCGTATCATCTCGATCCTATTTGAGGCTTTCTAAGGAACGCGCGGAATCATAAAGCATACGTATCTGCTATTGTCTGCCTCACCACGAGGGCGGTGCACTTAGAGCCGGTAAGAGCACATCTTATGCCTTTATTTCGCTTTCACGCGGTTCATCTTGAGGTAAACCGTTTTACATGTGTTCCGACAATGGCACCGCTTTTTTCGGAGCTCAAGAAGCTGCACGAATTCTTTTGTGATCAACAATCTGATATTCAATCCTTCTTATACGATCAAGGGATTAAATGGACTTTCATTCCGCTAAACACCTCATACGTTGACGAACTTTGGGAAGCCGCGGTCAAATCCGCGAAATATCACATAACGCGTATCGTTAGCAAGACTCATTTGACTTTCGAGAAACTCCAAATCGTATTGCGCAAAATCGATCCGATTCTTAATTCCCGTCCTATCTCGCTATTAATCGTGAACTCCAATAATCTCGCCTATCTCACTCCCAGTCACTTTTTAGTTGGCACCGCACTTAACAGTTTCCCTTGCAGCGATCTAAGCAACGTCAATGAAAATCGGCTAGTGCGTTGATAGCGGATCAAGCAAATCAGGTAGCATTTCTGGTGCAGGAAAAGTGTCGAGTACCTACACACCTTGCAGGAACGTTCGAAGTGGAGGAGGATTAGCAAGAGCCCTCAGATACTCCCCAACCAATTAGTGCTGATTAAACGCAACCAAACTTAGCCACGTTGCAATGAACTCCGGAACGCACATACATATATGTACATACATATACATATCCTATACTCTATTAAAAATTTCAATATAAACAATGCTGACGGCATCTGTGTCAGTTTATAAGTTCAAACCATTTTTCCTCGATTAATGTATTATAACATTTCCGAAATTATGCGTTTATTGTAAAAAGATTTCACATCCAAAATCTCGACATTGTCCCAATCAAAGTTGTAACCATGATACAACCTATGGTCTGTATTAACAGAATGGAAACCTAGCTACGAATATATTTCCAGTATTCCGATAATCTGGTTTTTAATTTTCTGCCAAGTGTAATCCACATAGGATTCATTATAATCAAGACAATTGATTTTGTGAACGACGTTCTTTTTTAAAGTATTGGAAAGAGGATTATTGAGGATCTTGATGAAAATCTTCATTTTATTTAAGCTGAAAAAAAAGAAATCTTTTGACACAATCTATTAAATTTTTTAATTTATTGGAAATCCCATCAATGAACGGAAAACCATTTAATCTTTTCTTTCTGTATGTTATTATAGATGATCTTTTAATATTGGAATTACATATTTTTATTAATATTTTGATCCTCATATTGTTAAAAATGAAATCCAAGAAATAATCATTGTATAATAAAATTTTAACAACAAGGTTCAAATTCTATTTGTGAAATTCCGTTTATATTTTCATGTGATGTCAAACTTGATTAAAAAATTAAAACACATTTAGTTGATTCGTTTTCTTTTAATTTTAAGAAACTTTGAAGTGTCCTAGGGGACTTTCCCCCATATCTATAAGAAAAAATACTGTGAACCTATAAAAACGTTTCAACTATCTAACAATAAGTTTAAAATCATTCGTTTCTGTTCCAAGATATGATATAAAAAAGTTTTCAATATAATAATACATTTTATGAAAAAAAAATGACTTTCAATAAGTAGAAATATATTATTAAATTATGAACTGTTTTATATCATATCTGATGTTATAAAATGATTTTACACTTTAAGTTAAGTTGTCCTTATCATATCTTCAGATAAGAATGATTAGATAGATAATTTTGCTTTATAACTATACAATATCAAATATTTTTTTATTTCATATTTAATATATTTTGTACCATATCTGGTGATAAAAATAATTTTAAACTTATTCGAGCTGTTTTTACGCATTTGACAAATTTGTGTTAATTTAATACTTTTTATATGTCCTTCCAAAGTTTTTATAAAAACACGAGCTAAATACATATGTTAGAAAGTAGCACAAATGTTATATAAACAATGAGTATAGAAAATGTAATACTGACACAATTTGAAAGCAAATCGTAAAAGCTATATGTATATTTTTTCAGTAAAATTAACATTCCTTATATATTATGTTGAATATTAATTTATTTATCTTAGAATTTATACTTTAAAATGCTTATTCTTATTATGTTACTTGTTTAGTTATCCATATATTATGTTATTTTGACAATAAGAAATATTGAACATCAATTTAACACTAGACCGTGGCACGGTGGGCTGGGGGCAGCTGGACAAAAATCAATTTTTCGACCTATTCCCAAATTAGTTTTGATTTTTACTGTTGTTTTCCTTATTTCTTCAGGTAACTTTCCCATAAATATAACATTTTTAATGGCGTTTTTATCACTCATTTATTAATGTCAATGTAATCTTTGAGAAAATCTGCTTTATGAGATGGTTTTTTTTCCTTCAATTTACAATTTGACCAAGAGAGAACTTTGACTTATTGACTTTATATTTTATAATTATTGTTTTAAATTGTTATATTAATTTTTAAATTAATGTTTTGTATATATTATTGAGACTGAAGAGGACTACAGTAAGAGTCGAAAGGTTTCGCTTAAAATTTAAATTGTGAAATTATTATAATAAAGTTGGTCAACTGTTTTACATCGTTTGCTTGTTTATAATACCGAAATTTAATATCTTAATTTGTCGTTTTAAAACATAACAAACGTTATCTTAGTACTTATATTTTGATGCAACAATTTATATAAAAAATAAATTTTTCTTAATAATTCTAAGTATCAGATCTCATGCAAACAACATTTTTTAATGTCCCATGAATTTTTTTAATGCAAAATAATCATCAGTTATAAAATATTATGTTACAATTAATCTTAATTGTCCTATAAAAGCAGTAATAAAATGAAAAAGTCATCTTTTTTTTTAAATATTTAGACTCTTCAACATTCTTCTATATTCTAACTGCACGTATTTTGTTTGTTAATATACAAATTTTAAAATCGCGTAAAAAGACCGTGCGCCTACAAAAATAATAATGCTTTATTAATTAATAGTGCTTTAATTGAACCTTTAATCACCATGCTTCTGTTTTCCAGCGCATTTAGAAACAAATTAGTTCATAGAATTTTGTGACAATGCAAATGGTTTCTTATATCTTTTTTATCTTGATTTAAAATACAAAATGAAAGAATATGGGATAAATTCAAGCCATTTTATTTGAACTGATCGGTTCTGAATTTTGTAATTTTGGATAGATCGTTATAAAATTTTAAATTTTGAGTTTAAATTCGAGTTTGGCTATTCAAAAAATCTATAAATTTAGAGTTCTGTTTGGAATTTTTAATTTTTTATGCTTTTTTATACTAATAATAATACTTTTTCATTGCACATCGTCCACCATTTTAAATTTCTGAATTTTGAGCTCAAATTCGAATTCAGCAACTTAAAAAAACCTATTTGAGTCGTGTTTTGTTCAGAATTTGGAAGAATTCGATTTTTGTCTTGAAAAGTGAGCTTTCGATCCATTGTGCACGGGTCTAAATTAACCCAATCGCAGTTTCAGATAATTCTAGATTTTTACTAGATAATTCTGGAGGAAGATTTGTTACTATAAAAGTAAAACTATAATTTGTAATTCACTACGATTATTTGAAAAGTCACAAAAATTTAAAGTTTAACATTCAAATTAACTGAAAAAGAAGGAATTATTAGATGTGTTAAAAATGCGGTTCTAATGTTAGATTAACGCAAAATATTCAAATAATATAATCATACTATATTAAATTAAAATTCGCATATGTTGAAAATTAAATGCAAAATTTACTTTTAATTGCAGACCACGTATTTTTAATATAAATACAAAACATTTTTTACTCCATTCAACAATTCCTTAAAATGATTCAATTTTACATAAAATAGTACTTATTGTTAACAATAATTAAAAATAAATAACATTTTGGACTTTTCCATTCGTAAGGATAAGCGCAATTGGACATACGCGTGCATTTTGCGTTTATTCTTAATAATTATAATATGCCACATATGTATATCAGAATATTCTGATTATTAATAACAATCAGAAATATTCATACTGTTTCGCAGAGTCATCATTCTGTTTAAAAAAATTAATCTACTGAAAGAAATTTTTATCAGAAAGGACTACACTACAAATTTTATGCTATGATATGATATACCGTTAAGTGATCTATGATATCGCCTTAATGATAATAGTGTAGCCTTCCTTTAGCCGTATTATTTCCCGCTATTGACCTCAATTCAACGCTTATCTTCTGCGCTGGATAAATGGCACGGTGGCGAATACACTTTTCTTTCCGAAATTTGCATAGTACGCACCGTGCACGTAATCAACGACCGGCCGGGGGAAGTCGCCCACTCGCCGAACAGGCGTTATCGGTAAACTCACGCTCATGCAACGCAGATATAACTGATCAGCAAGTACGCGCTCGGTTATAGTGTCCGAGATACGGGGGCAGAAACTTGGTTCATTCTTTACTGAAGTCGATTACGAGCGCTTTTATGAGATTAACGGATTTTGTTTACTTTACCATACACGATCGACTAGTATTAAATCTGCGTGTTGTATCGAATACAACGGAACATGATCGTCGCGGTTCTGATAATTTCCCTTGTAATCGGCCTGAGCAATGCAGCGTCGGTCGCGCGTGTCATCCGCGCCGCCTCCCCTGGACCAGTAGATGTCTGTGATAGGTGAGTGAAAATCAAGAGCTGCTTACAATCAAAGAAATAGGGATAATTCCAATATATCATAAACTGTGTATTTTATATTATATGATTTCTAATAGATTGAAATTCTTATTCTCTGTTCCTAGTTCCTTATTCCTTTTATTCTGTGCAGCTCTTCACAGACTATGGTGTAGTCTAGTAACTATACTACATTATACAATATAATGTACTAGACCGCTACTTCCTTATACAAAGTGTCTCAAACCTACGAAATTGTCTCTCGTGAACAGATAGAGCGGATTTAATTGAATTAAAAAGTTATCTAACATTTTGCAATTTTCACAATAGATAATAAAATATTAATTTCTAAAAATCGACTAATAAATACGTGTCCATTTAGTCTAAACGCGGCGCGATACAACCATTTATCGCGAGGAAATGTCTTCTTTCGCTGTTCATGCGTTGCTTAGAAATTGCAAAATAGTGAAGGACATTTTAACTCAGTTTAGTTCGCTCTATCTATTCACGAGAGATGATTCCATAAATCTAAGGCATCTTGTATACAGTATCTAAAAATTGTCTCCAAAAGTTATCAAAAATTATATACTATATATACGTAACATAAAGAGCTATGTGAAATAGTTGATGTAATGCTATTGGTTGATGTAATAGTAAATGTAAACGTAAGGTATATGCAGGGAATGGAAGTAACTCGTTACTTGTAACGAAGTTACAGTTACAAGTTACTTTTTTGGTAACTTTACTGGTAACTGCGTTACTTTCTTTTTTTGGTAACTGTAACGGTAACGAGTTACATTTTTTGGGTAACGGTAACGAAATTTACAGTTACTTTTGTCGTTACTTTGCACACGATTGAATACGGTTCGATTGGATACATGCTATTTATAGCGCTTATCAATAAGACTTGAAAGCCCTTAGACATTCGGCCGTTATGATTCAGTAATTATTTTACACTTCTATCTTCTATGTAATACATAGGACATACAAATATTTCAATTTGCTGCATATTTTACAGGTTTTAGAATTACAAAATTGTGTTTAAAAAAAATTAAAAAATAAATTAAATAATAGTAAAATGAG